GTCCCCTCCTCCTCCTCCCGCGCCCGCTCCCGCTCCCCGGGGCCCCCAGCCCGGCCGGGCGCTGACAGCAGGGGCGGGGGTCCCCGTTGCCGCCGCCGTGTCTCTCGCAGGCCCCGGCTGGGGCTGCGGAGCTCCCGGTGCGGCCATGGACCAGCCCCTGGTGGCGTCGGCGGAGGCGGAGGAGGAACTGGAGTGGCAAGTGGCGAGTCGCAAGAGGAAGGCCTGGGCCAAGTGCCGCGGCTCCTGGCAGGCATCGGAGACAGAGGACCTGTCCACAGAAGCGACGACGCAGGACGAGGACGAGGACGACGAGGAGGACCTTCCCGGAACGAAGCTACGGGCGGCCGCGGGAAGAGGTCGGTGCGCCCGCGGGGCAGCGGCGGGAGGGGAGCTGGGGGAAGTTCGGGCTGGCGGGCAGGGGAAAGTCTCGTGCGCCTTGGGCGCCTGCTGTGAGGTCTGGAAGGTCCTCCGGGGCTCCATAGGCCGAGGGGAGAGGGGACACTTCCGACCTTTAAAGGCGTGCGCTTGGCGAGGCATCTCCAGCATCGACACAGACACCTCGGTGCCCTCTTTTCCGTTCAGATGGTCACTAGGACGTGTTGCTTAGGCTGCATTTTGCCCTGCGTGGAGTTTTCTACCTGGGAATATCGAGGGTGACCCCTCCATCAGAGTCTCCCAGGGGTAGGTAATGAGCTGTCCCCTTCCTCTGTCCCGCAGGAAACGTACCTAACGAGAAGATCGCGATATGGCTCAAGGACTGCCGGTGAGTCCTCCCTTGCGCCGCTCGCGTCCGGAGGGAGAGCCACGCAGATGGGACCCCGAGCGGAGTAGCTCGGGCCGCCGTCCCTATGGGTCCCATGGGCGTTTGTTAGCTATAAACCGGAAAGTGAGCCGGCAGATAGCTTCCTCCTTTAAGCGATTAGAAATGGAAGTGCTGTGGCCGCTGATTATTTGGCGACCGTGTAGACTTCACAGTTGTTAGGACTTCAGCTCTGGTACATGATGTTAACATCAGAGATCAGAAACCTAAAACAGATAATCAAACCATGTTACTCTGCTTGCCCTGTTTTTATGCGAAAGTATTTTCTCTTTCAGAGTGTTCTATTTTGCTTTTGTTTTGACGTCTGTACATCTGCTATCGAATCATTTCCCTTTCAAATGTATTTTGGATGAGTTTGATTTAACGACGCTTACTGGGCTTTATGTTCATGCCTTAATTCTGTTGGGAGAGCTGTTGAAACCAGCTAACTTTGTTCTTCTAGTTTACTTCTTGGACATGCGTTTGTCAGATGGTACTGGAATTCACAGAAGGGAAATACAGCTTTGAAGACTTTCAGGTTGCATAAATCTGTTTAATTACACGCTTTGGCAACTGGTACAAAAATGATAAAGTACAGAGGAGATGAACCATGTTGCAAGTAAATCTTACTACAGTAAAATGTGCTAGTTTCACATTTAAATTATCTTTTTTCCAACTTAATTTGTTACTTGTAAAATCTCATATGAAGAATGTTGGCTTTTTAACTTTTGTTAAGCTGTTTGCTTCTATACTTATTTTTGCCATCTCAGTTTGGGCTTTTTAAAATCCTTCGTTCTAGTACAAGAGTTTGGGAAGTCTCTTTTGGGGGAGGGAGAAGTGATTCTCCTATATGCCACTTTATTTTTCTTCCCTAAAGATATAAGATATTGGCCACTACTCTGTTCATATCCTATTTTGGTGAATTGCCTGGAGCCTTGACGAATGAACCCTTGATTACAGAACTCCTTAACCTTTATTGAGGGTGTCATAGATGCTTCTGAGATTTGATAAAATATATGGACCTTCTGTCTCATGATGCACAAAAAAATGTTTAAGAGCAAGAGAAGAATCACATTATGTTTATTTTATGATGTACAGGAATTAAGATTATATAACAGATTATATCAAGTAGGCAGTTAAGTGCATCTTGTAAGATAAATGCAATAGGGAAATGTTAACACTCACCAGGACTCTCTGAAAATTCCAGAAGTTTTGTTGCTAATCTTGGTTTACGTAGCAGATTCTATAGTCTGCTGCCTCTTCCCTCATGGGTTTTCTTTATAAGTTTTTTTCTTGTTCCTTACTATTGCACCTATTCTATACAAAAGGGACATTTATTTGTACTTGGGAAAGCTATAACAGTCTTTTACTGTTGGCTTTATTATCACAGATTTGACTGCTATGATATATGCAACTGTATTTTTTTTTCCTTAGAATCCTTCCAGAGTTAGGCATCTGTCTATTTTGTATATTACGTACAAACGATCTGAAGACAGCATTCTTCCCCCTGTTAAGTTCTCAAATATTCTTTGTTTCCTTATTGCTTTCCATATCCTGAATAAAGATGCCATATTGTCTTTCCTTACACTGAGTCTTTATTTTGATAATGATTTTTTGGCTAAGTGGAAACAAATTGCCTGAATAAGTAGCATTTAAGAAGGGATAGATTTTTTGATAAGATTTGTAAGAGCAAATTTAAGAGTGAGAGACTTGATTCAAAGGGGAATGTCAGTTATATTCTGCTTATTGGCCATTTTCTGTTGGTGCTGAGACCAGTAGAGACATCTGCAGAAGGAGTAATGCAGTGTTTTGTCCTGTGAAAGTAGCCATCAGGGAGAGGAATGACTTTTTTGAAGGCATGAAGTATAGTTTTATTAAAATATTGCAAAACCTTAGCTCAGAGGTTTTATCTTTATAGTTGTTCCTTATGATTCTTTTACATTTCACAAGCACTAATTTTAAAGAACTGACATTCCTTGTGTATTTGTTTGCAGAAACTTTAAACGTTTAATTAGCATTTCAGTAATATTCTTTGGAACTGATATTTTTACGATTGATCCCATGTCTGACGTGAATTTATAACAGGTATAAATTGTTACTGATAAAAGGTTGATACCACAGAATGGAACTTTTATAATAAAATAGACTGTTTCTTCCTTTAACGTAGTTTTGAGAAAGAAATGAAAACCATTTTGCATTAAAAAGATTTCTGAGTTATCTGTGCTTAACCACGAGAATGTGAAGGAATTTTTAGTGATGGCTAGTTCTTAAGGTAGACTCTCAAGCCAGCTTTTTACTAATTTTCTTTTCAAAGTTAAATGAAAGAATATGTGTATTTTCTTTTAGTTTAAAAAGCATAAAATGAATCCCAAACTTCTCCATTTGTATAAGAAAAGATAACAGTTGGGGTAAGGGAAGCACTAAGTAGTGCTCTAAAATGCTAGATGAGATTTAAGAAAACTTTTGAGTTTTATTTTTAACTAGACTCTGACTTCTTAATTTTATTGAGAGAAAGATTTATTTTCTTTTAATCCTGTTTCCTGTTTCTAGGGAAAGGGTTGAGGGGAGCAGACATTTTCTTAATGCCTGCTGTCATTCTCTTTTCTTTTTCTGTTTTTGTAAAGAAAATGCCAGTTCATGTTGTTTGTA